GCCTGACAAAATTGACCACTAAATTGCATCAAGCAACATCCCCTGTTGAATGGTGAAATTAAATATAGTACTCTTTCTGTAAATAATAATAATAAGACTTTTCACCATCAGTCTACTTGCTTAACAAAAACCACCGAGAGGCTGAAAGATACTCCATACTACTCCCTTCGTTTCAACATAGATCACCAAACTTTGTACTAACTTGAAAAAACTTTAGGCCTCTCCATCCTCTTTATGTACTTTATTAATTAATTTTGCCCAATCTCATCTCTGTTTTATATCAGTGAAAAAAATTGCAACTTTTAAAGACTCTTCCTTTGCAAATCTGGCCTTTCTTCCTTGCGGCTGGCTGCATTATTTGTCTCCCTTTCCCCTCCCATCTCTGTCTCTCTCCCCTACCCTCTTCCTCTTCCTCTCCCTCTCCAAAAGAACAAGAAAAAAAGGAATAGAAAGAGGAAGAAGCAAGCCTTGGCTTTTGACTTGGTGATGGGCAGTGGAATTATTCCCAGGAATTAATCCCTTGTGGTTCTGAAAGATTCATTCATACCAAGAAAGGAGGAGGAAATAGTTGCTTGTTGAATCTCCCCTCCCCTCTTTTTTTTGCTCAAAAATTCCCAATCTTTCTCTTCTCCCCTGTCTGTTCGTGGGAGAAGAGAGAAGAGGGAAGAGGGCGCCATGGCGAAGAAGGAGGGACCTTGCGGCCATTGCGGAGTCACAAGTGAGCTCCTCCTCTTCTTCCTTATACAGCTCAAATTTTCCCCTCCCCTTTGTTTCTCCGCGACCGCGGCTGTGGTGGGATTCTGCATCTGGGAGGTGGATTCCCAATCTCGCCTCTTCCTCTGAATGCTGAAACCCGCCGGCCGAATCCCCCGTGGATATGGTTAAGATCTACTCCTACTAGTATATGAGATGCCTTTCTTTCTCTGGATGTGAAACTCTGAACAAAGTTAGTATCTCATTCAGACTTGTGTGTGCTTTGACTCTGCTTGCTGCTTGTTAGATGCAGCTGACACTCTTGGTTTACAAGAAGAAAAGGACTGTCTGCCCATACTTAATACGTACTCCTACTTGCTGCAGTTATTCAGATATTCAGAGTTCCCTACATGCTTGCTGCAGTTTCAGATAAATGCTTTAATGTCAGAGTTGATTCTCTGCTCGCTGCTCTGTGTCATCTGCACAGATTAGTTACATGCTTGCAGGACAGCACATGGAAATTTACATCTGGCTTGTACTGTCTGTACTGACCATTGGAAACAAGCAACACCTGAAAGAAATATGCAGTTTGACTATGTATCCTCATCTCATTATATTCAGATTCAGAGTTCAATGTATACTTGCTGCAGATACAGAAAATGCTTCAGTCAGAGTTCAGTATATGTATCATCTGCACATATTAGTTTCCTATTCAGATTATATGCATTTGCTAGGCTTTATTCTGTAGGAACATCAAAGGCTAGTATGTACTAACCATTGAAAACAGTACCTGGAATATGAAGTCTGACTATGCGTATCTATGACAGATTATTATTTATTGCCTTGAAGGTGTATTGTTCCGGCTGTCGTTTTATGTTTGCTTCCTCTATTAGCGCCACCAGCTCTTCTTTCTTTTTTTGACCCAGGCCACCATCTCTTGTAGTATCACTGCCAGGCATAATTCTTGTAAATCTGTTATGCAAGCAAACTCCTGATTGATGCATGGACCCACTACTCATGAACTCTGTACCTGCATTTTACACTGATTCTTGGGTACCAGTTTTGTACTCTGTTTCTTATTGCTCATGGCAAATGCTGCTGATACAGGTACTCCTCTCTGGCGAAATGGGCCACCAGACAAGCCAGTTCTCTGCAATGCATGTGGGTCGAGATGGAGGATAAGGGGTACGTTGGTGAACTACACACCGGCGCATCGCAGGGAAGATACTGGCGCTAGTGAAGCTAGACCTGACAAGCTGAAGCTCAAGGGACAGAAACAGCCCAAGAAACGACCAAACCGCAGCACAGTGAAGGATGAACCATGGTCTGATCAGAACTTCTGGAAGATGGGAAATGCGGACACAAGCAATCGATCTGGTTCTGGATCAGCGGTATCATATTCAGAGAGTTGTGCCCCGTATGGTTCTATTGATGCAAGTGAAATAGTCGGTGAGTTCTCTCTAATTTCTTGACTTGCTTCTGTTAAGTCAAAACTTTTATGTTCTTCGTACCAATCATAATCATTAGTTGACCCTAAGTACCTATGCATAGCATAATCTTTTTGGATGAGTTCTTTTCACAACCATTGTTAGGTATATTAATGGCGGGTTTTCTGGTATCGGTAAACTTCAGGTTCAGCGCAGTCACATGCTTGGGAGTCACTGGTACCATCAAGAAAAAGGAGTTGTGTCAGTCGTCCTAAGCCTTCAGCGCTGGAAGCGCTTGTTGACGATCTCAACTCCATAATGCACGAAGAGCAGTTATATTGCCTTTCAGCAGGATCAACAGAGGAAGACCTACTTTATCACAGCGAAACTCCTGCTGGATCCTTTGAGATCGGTTATGGAAGCGTGCTCCTTCGACATCCAAACACAAAATCAGAGGAGGAAGAATCAGAAGCGAACTCTGTTCCTGCAGATACCAAGTCATACATTACAAGTGAATCCTATTCAGGTTGTGCCTCGTTCATTGCGCATAGTGAAATCAAGGGAGCGAGCAACTCAAATGCTGCATCCGAGAAGCTAAAGTGGTCATCAATGCAGACACATGACAGTGCTAGAAGGTATTTTACACTCTTGTTAACCTAAAATGTTTGTACTGAGCATTGGTTGCTGCCCTGTGTCCACGGTCCCACATTCGATACTAATTCAGAGAAGCAATTATGGTGTTATTTTTTTAATCTTTGTGCAGGGATGAGCTTCATTATTCGAACCAGCATATCCTGGAGAGCGCAGATTCAGCTTTAGATTCAGTAGCTTTAGAGGTTCCCTATCCGACCTACGAATGCCTTTGGGTGGTTTTCTCTTCCCTTACATATATCTAGTACCTGACTGAGTGGATATTTATCTATCTCTTTGTTTAGGATAATTACAGCAAGGAAGTTGGAGGCCTTACCAAGTCCAGCATGAGGTCTCTCAAAAGACCTTATGAAAGCCAGCCGCAAAGCTTCACAGGTCAGCAGTCTTGGTTCCTCTGCTTCTGCACTGCACATACATTTTGTATATTCTGCACATCTGAAAATGTACACCCGGTTTTCGTAGTTTTTGCAATTTCTGTGCTTGGCTTATTTGCAAGTAACATGGAGATGCCTTGTGGTTTTGTTCTGTTTGTGAAGATGCAGAAGTGAGAGGAGGAACCATGAGAATAGCTTCTTCGAGATCCGGGGCTATGGCTTCTTCTTGTCAGTTGAGAAGAAGCGCATTTTTGCCGAAATCTGGCAATGCCACTGGAGCATCACTCAACCTGTTCATGTTAGCCCCAGATAAATTATCGTCTATGCTGAACCCCTCAGACAAAGATTCTGACCAAGACTCGCTGCTGCTGGAGGTTCCTCGCAACGCGCGGCACCCTGAAGCAGAGCTTCTTCTCTGCTGCCCCCCACCATCTCAGCTCAGCTCTGTGACCGTAACCGCAGCCTCTCCTCCGACTCCGAGCAACCATAGTCCCGGTTCCGCTAGCGATCAGCTTAGGAACAGGCATCAGTGGTAGTTTTGTTTACATTTTGGTTCCTGGATCATCATCATACGATACCGCTCACCGATGATCGTCCAGACGCACACGTGCTGAATTTGTCCGCGCTTGTTTTCTTTTGTTTGGTGTAGCATATATATATGGCTGGAGAAATTGTAACTTGTATATCTGCTGTATGTATGGGGAATGGATAGAATCTTACTATCATGGGAAAGATGG